TTTGACCTTTTACCCACGTTTTAAGCTATTATGTCATATACATTACCGAAAACAAAATAATTTGCAAGTTCTACATGTAATAGGACTTGAATCTGATCAAAGATCGGGTAAAATGATACTTCTACAGGGATAGTTGAGTCCTTGTTTAAAACCGCAAATGCCTTCCTATTGCTCTTATTCTTATTTATGACATTTCTAATGCCCTTTTAGAACCTAAAATTGCTATAAAGGTAATTTTAGCACCAAAATGTGTGAATTTAGATTGAATAGGATCATACCAATTCATCTCCACTTTCAAAAATATATGGTGACCGTTAATTAATCATTTAATTTGTAATAACAATACACGAGGCAGCTGTTGTGCGTATTATAACCAACACGAAAAAGCCAACAAAAAGCAAATATTGGCATTGGCTGGAATAAAACGTATAAGGCGCTAGCCTACCTCGTTTTTCAATGGCTGGTTCAAATTACCGAATATTTGTGGGGCACCACAAATATTAGAAACGGGTTAAACTTATGGACATTTCAGCCATCTTTGAACCGATTTTGATCAAACAAAGAGAATTTTGTCATTTAAATTGTATATTCTTTCAAATTTGACGCTCAGTTTTTCATTATCTCACACAAAATTAATTTGGTGTAGCGCCCTCTGCAACAAAACTCGACTATTGCTTTAATATTGATACTTTGTACTGTATGGGTTGCAAAATAACCACACACCTTGGAATGTTCTACTAATAATCATGAGGAAGCATAACTTACAATCTGTAACCAAATGTCTGGAAGGCTGTATTGAGTTCATTGGCATCAATGTTCCCTGATCTATCCCTGTCAAATCTATCACAATAAAGAGAACATTTTACAGGACAACATTTGATAAATAAGGAGTCATAATGTAAAATAACAAATAGTTGAGAAGCAGATGTAAATGTAGCTAATTTTGTTTCGGATGATAATGAATTACTGCAGAAAGGGCAAGAATTAAAAAAAGAAATTGAGTTTACAAATGTTCATGATAGTTCTTTTTCTGCCTGAAAGCATCCAAAAAAAAATGTTTTTTTCTTAAAGGTGAAATTCAAAGAAAATCACAAATATGTCAACTAATGTTTCACTAGAAACTGGTAAGCTAACAGATGGCCATCGTACAAGTTTTAGGTCAACTACATATCGGGTGATTTATACAAATACAACCACCTCCATAGCAGCTGGGATATACGAGAGATTCGGGGGAAAATAACGATGTTTTAATGACGTCACTATATGGACCAATACTGCCCAAGCAGACGATATCCCATAAAGAATGAACATAATTGCAAAGCTATTATTTGTCAAATCATAATGAGTTTAGTGTATATAAATGTAATGGCATGTCAAACCATTCAAAAGGGGATATGACCCGATTCTGATAACCTAAATCTTTTGCTTGTAAATACACAGGATAGGGGTTAATTAACAAACAAAGAAACCAGACTTTGAAATTGAAAACCCCCCGGAATGATATTAAGGACGGCATTTGTTCCCTCTTGAAACGCCGAACATACCCCGGCGTGTGCAGCTGAATATACAATGGCGTCTTATTTTGTTTACAAGTGACAGATTCCTTTATATTTGTATCGCTGCATTTTTCATCAAAATAAAAACATGCGCGGGGTTTGGAGTGAGGCAATAGATTATACATTTAGCCTGACGGTAGTGAAATAAGAGAAAGAACTCAAGAGAAGATGAAAACACAGGTACTGAAAATGTGTGAGATGTCATGGGACATCGTCTGCTTGTGCAAATCATGTCCATACTGTGATCTCACACATCTCAGCAGCGTTCGGAGAGCTCTTCAGGTGCTATCCCGGGGCTGTATTTAAGCGTTTTGTAATTAATGATAATCATTACTTCGAATGTTTCCAAGCATTGAATTTTAATAACCTTGTCGAATCAAAGTTTCAAATTTGCAATAATAAAAATAAAGTTAGTTTTTAAAATCAATGAATATCTACTTTAAAACTTCTCAATGAAAACATTTAAAACTAATTCTACGGTCCGTATATATCCCCCAGTTTCCCCACCTCACTGCCAATCCCAATATTTGTAGTCTCAGTCCAGGGTTACGGAAATAAATCCATAAAGATGTGACGGTTTACAATTTCTTGCAAAATACCCCCCCCCCCCACAATTTTTTTTTTTTTTTTTAAAACGAAAAAAAATAAAAATAACAAATAATAATAATAATAAATAAATAAATAAATAAATAAAAAAAAAATATTTAAAAAAATAAAAATAATAATGTGCTTTACCTGTCAAAGCAGCCTCTCCAATCCTGGATGTACTTCCATAATGATGCAAACTCATTAAAGTTTATGGTGCCATTCCTATAATTGATCGAAAAAGCAATTAAAAAAAAAACAGTAGTATAAAAGTCTGTGCCATTATCAATTTGAAATAGATGACATGGAAGCCAATGTAGAACAACGGCACCAGTCACAGTAATAAGGAAACAGAGTGTGATCATTTTCATCTTTTAAAGAAAGTTAAAAAATCCAAAAGGATGCTTCCATAAAGTCCTCTGCATAATTTTGTTTAAATGAACTATGAACACGAAGGAAAACAAAAAGGATTTAAATTCTTCTTCACCTTCTATTTGTCAAATAAATTTACTCCAGTTTATACAGAGGGAGGGCAGTTTAGAACTGAAAAATATTGCTATCTATTTAAAAATTTCAAAAATATAATGAAATACAAACGTAATACATGTACATGTGATGTACATGTACATAGACTTTAAAATCAGAGGAAACATGCATCACAATCTGAGAAGCATAATCAAGAATTTGCACAATTGTAAAACACACACATGTAGCTCAGGAAATGTGTGATTCCAAAATGTTGGTGTTTATTGTCTGGAACAGTGCACAACAAGTGATGAAATTACCCTGTGAATAAGGAAACATGCAAGCACACTACACTCCAGTTATTAAAATTTTGTTTGCAAAAAATACGCTACTGTAAAATACAGAATGACTGCAGCGCAAGAGAGAGCAGATACAAATGATTACATCACAAAGAAGAAAGAAAAAAAGGATAGGATTCAGAGAAAATAAGAGAAAGCGCATGGGATTAATTTGTATTTTTAATAATAATAATAATAATAGCAATAATAAATAATACTACTACTAATAATAATGATAATAATAATAATTTTGTTTAACCAGGAAAGGCTTATCAACATCATAGCTGTTCTTAAAGAAGGCAAATATTGTTTTCCCAGCTTTTGCCAGGTACCCATTTACACCTTTGTGGAGAGTGGCAAATGTGGATTAATGTCTTGCTAAATGATATCAGTGCCAGTTTGTGGTTTAAAAATCTTCAACCCTTGGATTGAATTAAGTAAAAGAACCACCATAATACCTCAACACCTCCAATATATATTCCCTAATCAATATATGATGACAAGAGAACAATATTATTTTCAGAGGAAAAATAAAGGAATTGTGAATCTTGGTGCAGTAATTTCCGACCGAAAGTGAATAAAAAGGATTTGAGATTATGACTGACTGCTGTAATTATTTGCGGAATGCATTCATTCATTCATTCATTCACCTGTCTAGATCAAACATGCCGATCATAAGCCTACAAGTCTCATGATTGAAAGGCGTCATATTCCCATTAAGCAATGCATGCTGTAGCTCTTCAGCAGTAATCCCACCGCTGCTGTCCGCATCAACTGCCTATACAAGAGATCGGGAGGTCACAAGACAAAGATACAAGACACAGCAATGTAAGATTAATGAATGGGGAACAATTACCTATCCTTGTCGAACATTTCAATCATAAGGCGACACGTTTCGACGTTGAAGTTGGAGTTGTTCCCATTGAGGAGTGCTTGGCGAAGCTCTTGGGCAGTGATGGCATTGCTATTATCTTGATCTACTGCCTAGTGATATATAAGAAGGGGGTGGGTGGGGGTCAGGTTGGCATATACTGTAAGTCTAGCTGGTTTGTGCCATCAATGGCTGCAGTCCTACCATGCCTTACATCATCAAACATGCATCACAAATGAAATAATGTGGGACAAGTTATCAATCATAAACCAACTTTTCATGGTATATATTTTGTGACTAATTTTCAACAATACTTATCTAATTTGTTTACAAGATCCTAGTCATTCCATAATCATAAAATCTGTAGTGCAGCGAATTTGGGACTTGTACTACCATGCACATGAACCCAAAAGGGTAAACTTTCATTTTCTTATGAAGGTGGCGCACTATGGAACCAACTCTCATTTAGTGTTACACAGGCCAAGTCAAAACACTCATTTGCAAATCTGTACTGAAGATTTGTAATACTTTTAACAGCTAGTAACAATGTTTTGTTTTTTATCTCAGAGATTGTTCTTTCCAGCAATAAGAAACAAAGAAAGTATTTTCGGCTTTCCTGCTTTAATTTTCTGTTACCCATAATTGATTTGTAAGGATGCATATTACATGTATATTGTATAACCTGGTAACAAAACAAAAATCATATTTATATTATGGTGAACAATAACAAAAAACAAATAACCCATGATATACATGAATGTATGTATTTAAACTTTGTCCAATTCCTCTGTATTTAATTATAACCTATAAATTGTACAGGGCCTCTCAGGAAAACACTTTAAATACTGAGAGAGTTACCGTGTTTAAATAAAAACGAATTAACAAAATATTCCAAAAAATAAATAAATAAATAAATATTGCAATTCAGAATTCATCAATGTGTATTAGATATCAAGAAGAAAGGCAAGCTTTTCATTGACTGGAATGACTGTACAATCTTTCCAAATTTGGGCAGTTTAAACCAACTACATTTACATACATGTACATGTACGACAGAGAGAAACTGGAAGGTGACTAAATGTAGCTGGAATGTGCAAAATAGTAGTTGAATCAAGTGACCGGCTTAATAATAATACTGTAAGCACTTTGGTCAGTTAATTGCAAAGTGTTATATATATATATATATATATATATATATATATATATATATATATATAAGCAACCGTTGTCATTATCATTTTTTTGTGAAATATGATGCAATAAGATTTTGATTGCCAATATCTTTAAAAGCATTTAGCCATCCTCAAAGATTTATTCTTGTTGGTAATTTATTAATTGTATCCCCTAAAATCAGAGTGAATCTCACAAGGATAGATATAATAATAAGTACAGACTTATGACCATTTTTTATTAAAAAAAAAAATGTTACAAGGGGAATAATTCACATGGACATGATTGAAGAAACTCTCTAACTCATAATTTCTTGGTATTTTTTGTTTAATAAATCAACTACCGGTACACATTTTAGATTGATAAATCATTTGTAAACTGTCATGATCATGTATTCAAAATGTCTTTCAAGAACAAGAAGCAAAATAAATTATTCCAAGAAGGTTTTGAAGTTATTATGAGTTAATTTTCTACTCATTTCTATTTCAATCATAATGAGAAGCAGTATTCTGCAGGAAACACAAAGAACTGTTTTAAAATAAAACTAGATGGAATTCGACTGCGCGCAGTCGAAAATGATGCCTCCGTCATAGAGCAATTTTACAAACCGAAACGGAAGAAATTTTTCAAATTCAAGTTCAATTGTAATCCATTAACATGTTCTCAGAATATCGTGATTACAAGCAATTTCTCATAAACATATATGACCCTTTGATCTTTGACCTCATGACCCTAAAATCTACTCAGTTCATTGGCTCTGCAAGATTTCCTGAGTTAAATAGTAATCCATCTGTCAGTTCTAATGAGCATGCGTCCACAAGCTATTTTTGCATACATAATGAGCCCATGACCTTTGATCTTATGAACCATTCATTGACTCTGCAAGATACATAAATGATCTAAGTTTGGCAGGAATCCATCAATCTGTTCTAATGATAATACGATCACAAGCTATTTTTGCATACATAATGAGCCGCATGACCTTGACCTTTACCTCATGACCCCAAAATCTAATCAGATCATCAGCTCTGCAAGTAACATACATGACCAAAGTTTGGCAGGAATCCATCAATCGGTTGTTCAGATAACGCGATCACGAGCTGTTTTTGCATACATAATGTGCGCTGTGACCTTTGACCTCGTGACCCCAAAATCTAATCAGTTCATTGGCTTTGCAAGATACATACATGACCAAAGTTTGGCAGGAATCCATCAATCGGTTCTTCAGATAACGCGATCACAAGCTGTTTTTGCATACATAATGAGCCCTGTGACCTTTGACCTCGTGACCCCAAAATCTAATCAGTTCATCAGCTCTGCAAGATACATACATGACCAAAGTTTGGCAGGAATCCATCAATCGGTTGTTCAGATAACGCGATCACAAGCTGTTTTTGCATACATAATGAGCCCTGTGACCTTTGACCTTTGACCTACGTGCTCCAAAATGTAATCAGATTGTTTTCCTATAGTGATACACACTATCACTAAGTTTGAAGTTTAAATCTCCCGTGGTTCTTGAGATATCATGATAACAATCTCAATGTATGGAATTTCATAAGTTGACCTCTGTGACCCTTGACCTTTGACATACGTGCTCCAAAATCTAATCAGATCGTCTTCCTATGGTGATACATACTATCCTTAAGTTTTAAGTTTAAATCTCAAATGGTTCTTGAGATATCGCGCTAACAAACTCAATACAAGGAATTTCATAAGTTGACCTCTGTGACCTGTGACCTTTGACCTACGTACTCCAAAATCTAATCAGATCGTCTTCCTATGGTGATAAATACTATTCCCGAGTCTTAAGTTTAAATCTTAAATGGTTCTTGAGATATTGTGATAACGGTCAAACGGGACGGACGGACGGACGTACGGACGGACGTACGGACGGACAACCCGAAAACATGATGCCTCCGGCACCACCTTCGGTGGCGGAGGCATAATAAAAACTGAATTGCCTCTTCAAATATTTATTTAAAGTTATGCAACAAACACTTTAAGGTAATGCAAAGTTGCGGTAAAATTTGGAAAATGGAAAATTACAATTTTGATATATTTGGATGCCCCTGTGAATGTATTATAAACACTAAAAAATTTAGCCCCTGAAATGCTTTTGTTTTTTGAGAAATTGAATAATCAAAAATTACCGATGGTCCCGGTAAATTTCAAATATTTCAAATAGCGCTTAAGACCATTCCATGGTAGCTGCGCCCATGGAAATTTCAGAATATGCAGTTCTGATATATGTTTTCCAAACGGGAATAGCAAATTGGTCGATTGTAGTCAAGAAACATTTTTTTTTAAGCTAAAGTAATATCAGTCTTGAGAGGGAGCTACATGTATACAACATAAAGAGTTTATTATTGACAATGTCTGAGGAAGTTAAAGCTACATTTCCCCTGTAGCGAGCAATTTCTTGTATTCTACTTTGTCCCAGAAGCTTTAAAACTATCATGAAATAGGTACATGTATGAGAAAGTTAAAGCTTTTTGAAATGACTAGTCACTAGAGGGCGATATTCAATTTGATGACATCATTTGTGGACAACTCTCCATGCCTTTTGTACATCAAATTTCACAATTCTTTTGTTTTCTTCGTATTTATTTGTTTTCTTGATCTGACTTCATAACATGTGAAGTAGAATATCATTTTGTATTATATACCTTGCTTTCAGGGGAGTAGATTATCTCAAACACAAGAAAGAAGGAAAAAACATGAAATTTGATGTACAAAAGGCATGGAGAGTTGTCCACAAATTATGTCATCAAATTGAATATTGCCCTCTAGTTACAAGTCATTTAAAAAAGCTTTAACTTTCTTATTCCTTGCCAGGTTTTGTTCAAATTTTCACTGATATTATTCAAATATCTTAAACTTTATAATAAAAGTAACTAAGTATGAAGGTTTTGGTTCCCTTTAATAATAGTAAAAATAATTGAATATCTCACTTTGAACCAGGACCACAGGGTTGGGTCTGCACCTGGAGGGGGACCCCCTGGGGCACCAGCTGGGTGGTATCCAGGGGCACCATAGCTGAAAAAACAACATTAGACAAGAAACTAAATGATAGCTATATATACATGCTTTAAAAAGAAATCATTCATGTATAGGATTATAGTGTGAATAATCATCGGACAAGAACTACATGCTCAAACAAGAAAAATGCGGCTGCGTCTCCAATATGCCTCCCGCTAAATTTAGTTCAAATCATGGCTTGAATTATTTTTGGTATATCACGATGAGGACATAAAACCTATACTGACAGGTCAATTTATCTTTTATATGACCTTTGGCCTAAAAATCACAAAATCTGATCAATTGTCTCTTTGCAGTGATGCATACAGAGCTGCTAACTTGTACAAATTTCCCGTAATTCTCGCTACCCCAAATAGCGATTCTGCCGAGATCCGGGGAAAATCCTGAAAACGCGCATTGCATTATGGGATAGCTTTTCGACATTACAGCTTCCTGTGCAGGTGCGCGATAGCGCAAACGTAAAACGCCGTCGCCACACAACGTGTATGCACCGAATATGTCGTCTGCTCGGTCTTGTTTTTTTTTCGCAAATATTTCAACGTTTATTTGAACATTTCATTCGTTGTTTTTTGCGTCTTTTGACATCAGTGACGATGGTTTTCTTTTGTGAGGCTGCACAGTGCTGGGCTCATGATTCCAAGCGTAAGAACCCTGAAAAATGGGGGTGGATGAAGGCCGTGACTTGGGATGGGACTCTATACCGGAAGTTGTAGTGACGACCCGAGAGAGTGAAAATTACCTCGTCTCGCGAATTTCGAGATTTTCGTACCTATTTAGGATAGCGAGAATTGGTACGGAATGTTGTCGAAAATTACGGAGGGGGTTTTAAACAGTAATTGAGTTGGTCATAACAAGAAACTTTAATTTCATGTAAATTGATTCACTAGCCTTTGACATCTGACGTTCTTTTAACCAAAATGTAATCAATTTGTCTCACTGTTGTGATGCATACAAATTACAATACAAATTTTGAAATTTCTGACTAAAAAGTAAAATTGTTCTTGAAACATTGCAATAATGGTGGGGCAAAAGCCCTGCAATTTCATGTAAATTTACCTGCTAAGACCCTTAACCTTTGACCTTAACATGCCAAAATCTCATTTAATCTCACTACGATGATGATTGTTTGAAGTTAATGTTAATAGAACTCTTTGACCTTTGACCTTTTATTTATTCACCCAATTCTCTTCCTAAAGTTTCTATGGTGATACATACCGACATTGGCATCAAGTGATTCTCCTACTAGGAGTACCAGTATATTATTTTGCATAAAAGGTTAGAATTTGTGAGCATCTTTACCTGATCTCACAAATAAACACTAATTCCTGACCTGAACATTAAATTGTATTAAACAGAGCTGCCAACCTCCAGGAGCACAAATAAGTAATCTCAAAGCTCAAAATCAGTCATTTCATGCAGGGCGCTTAACCAGCACAAGAACGGCATCAGAACACTGTGCATCACTGCAAGATTAACATGAACTTTACGAAGAGCGTTATTAGAAATGCTGGTTTAATTCTCCTTTTGACACCATTGTTTTCTTGATCCTTCTTGCCATTTGTTCAAAACGCAAGTCAATGCAAGTTAAAACATGCAAGGAATGGGGAGCACTCACAGACTTCTTTTAAATTTGCTGGGACAAAAAAAATCAAGGGTGACTTTGAGGCAGTGGACAAAATTTGCACTGTGCAGCTACATGTACATGTACATGCATAAACCAGAAGGAAACTTTGGTGTTTCTATTAATGGTAGTAGTTAGCGAAGTAATTTATACTACAGAAACTTGCTATGCAGGCAATGGCACACTATTAGATTTCATTAAATCCAGAACTTTTGGACGGGATTCCATAATCTCAAACTCATCGTCAGTTTCCGTACCAATTACAAGAAATCCAAACTAGTTGGCAGCTCTGATTAAAATATCTCTATATTTTTGTAACCAAAAGATTATATGATGCACATGTACACAAATAAAACGACTTCGGCTGAAGCAGCGAGCCACCAAACCCCTACTTTTTAATCCAGAGTAATCTGTTCTTACCCTTGCTGAGGAGGAGGGGCACCATATGCAGGTGCACCGTAGCCCGGTGCCTGACCTGGAGGTGCTGCACCATAACCCGGTGCATGTGCTGGAGGTGGTGCTCCATACCTTGGCGCTTGTGGGGAACCGTACCCTGGTGCTTGGCCAGCAGGCTGTCCACCGTATGCCGGATTATAACCTGGTTGGGGAGCCCTATAACCTGGTACTTGTCCATGGGGAGGGGCGTAGCCTGCCTGTGGAGCTGATGGGTTGGCAGCAGGGGGGGTGCTTGGCCATATCCCCCAGGCTAGGGTGGAGATAAAAATAATAAAAATATAACATGCTGGTATATAACAACCAGAACGTCAATGACGTAGCGCTCATCCGCATCTCGCAACAACAAATATCGTAAATTTTATGTGGTACACTATTGAACTGGTCAAAATTTTGTGTAGAAGTTTAGTGTTCCGAATTCAGCTCTACCAGATAAGGCAAACCAAATCAAAATCCGTCAAGAAATGAGGGAGAAGAAGCAAATTTTGTTATTTTTGGAATAAATTTGCATAAATTACCATAATTAATCAATGGAGCAAAATCTCAAAATTCTGTGTAGAAGTTTAGTGTTCCAAATTTAGCTCTACCAGATAAGGCAAACTTAATCAAAATCGGTCAAGAAATGAGGGAGAAGAAGCAATTTTTGTTATTTTTGGAATAAATTTGCATAAATTACCACAATTAATTAATGGAGAACGATTTCAAAATTCTGTGTAGGAGTTTAGTGTACCAAATTTAGCTCTACCAGATAAAGCAAACAGAATCAAAATCGGTTGAGAAATGAAGGAACAGAAGCATTTTTTGTGATTTCGAATAAATTTGCATAAATTAGCATAGATAATGAATTTCACGATTCTGTGTAGAAATTTTAAATCCCCCTCCTAGCCCTATCATATGAAACAATCAGAATCAAAAGCGGTTGAAAAATGACCAAGAAGAAGCATTTTGAAAATTGTGGATTGCTTTGGACGAATGGTCGCGTTTGATGCGACGAGACACTCCCTTTCGGCCAAACCGGGGGGGGGGGGGGGGGGGGGGGGCTTTGGATGAATGGTCGCGTTTTGCGTTCAAGTCAACGCGACGCGACGCTACCCTACCCACCCTTTCGGCATAAGCCCGGTACTTTGGTAAGCTATCAGTATTTGCTAACATGACTCTTCTCGCTTCCGTGCTAACACATGCAATTGCACCAACGAGTCACGCATGCACACTACTCACCCAAAATGATTTGAGCAAATTTATGTTTTTGATGGTTTTTTTCCAATAGGGTAAATAGTAGACCAAATCAATGGTGTTTGGGATGTGTTTAGTGGGCCTGTTGACCCTACTCACAACATTGTTGTCACTTTGGCCACTAAATATCAGCAAAAGAAAATTGATAGGCCTATTCTATGTAAAAATAACTTTTAAAAATGTTCACAAATGGCCAATGCTGGAAAAAAAAGTGGTCAAATTGACCCAATGAACAATATTATAAGATGTTAATTCCAGTCACTTTTTAGCCCCAAAATAACGATTTGTATTGATTTTTGTCAATATTTTTTTAGGCAGAACCAATTGATGGGTGGGTTTTGACATGGGCAATTCCATAAATTAGGGACCCACTTTGTGACATTTTTGGTGTCTCACTTACATAAGGAACCCACACGTATTTGTGGCTCCAAGTAAAAACTTGAATAGTGGAGTGAGATTGTAAAGTGATTTCCAAGCATAATACCGCATCATCATACCTAGAATCACTTTTTCTTAAAGGGTGGAATTACCCACATCTAATTTGACATCCAACATCCAATTGCCATGGTAAGAAATTACATTTCGGACGGCTTTGTTCATTTTGATCAGTGGCTAGTGATTTGCTGTGCTGCACTGGTTGAAAAGTTGGCCTGTCAAGGTTTGCCCATGGGGGCACTTTTAATTGTGAATCCACCCTATTGCATCAATGCTTTTTAAGTTATCACAGTAAAAAGATTTAAAGAAAACAAAACTTTTATGATCCAGTGACCTTTGACCTTTTCTGCCCCCAATCTATTCAGTTCATCCTTGTACGCTCATTTATACTTTGAATGGCTTCATAACTTTCAAATTATCATGGTAAGATAAGCGGAATCTTGCATCGCGTTAGAGGGCTAACCTGGAGGTTGACCTGGTGGAATTATTTCTGTTTGGTGTCGTTTGTGAAAAAGTCGCAGAGCCTTCTCTTAAAAATATCTATGTTGGGGGCGTCTAGGATGTAATGAGGCAGGTCGTTCCAATATTTAACAGTCCATGGGAAGAAGCTATTTGAGTAAATTGTTGAATTGGTTCTAGGTCTCTGGAAGGATGCTGTGTGTGTGCGTCTAAGTTGGCGAGATGGTCTGGTTAAGTAGGGGTTCCAGTCAACGTCTACGAGGTTTGCGTTGATTTTGTACATCATATTGAGTCGGGCAATCTTTCGTCTGGTCTCGAGGTCAGTCCACTGAAGAGAGGCTATCATGACTGTCACGCTGGATTCTCTTGAGTAGTCGGTGAGACACATTCTTGCAGCAGCTTATTGGACCATGTCAAGCTGATGTTTTTCTTTTTGTGTGCTGGGGTACCATGCAGTCGTGCCGTACTCTAGTTTGGGTTGTACAAGTGATAGGTAGAGTCGTGATTTGACGTCAACAGTACATGCTTTGAAGTTGCGTCGGATGACTCCAAGTATCTTCTTAGAGCTCTTGGTGAGTTCCATTTTAGGTCGCTGCTGAAGGTGATGCCCAAGTAGGGGTGGCTAGAAGTCACCTGCAGAGTGTTCTTACATAATTTATAGGGGGTAATGTTTGGAGATTTCTTTGATGTGAAATGCATGGTAAAGCATTTGTCCGTGTTAAAAGCCATCTGCCAGTCGGAACCCCATTTGGAGAGGGCGTCGAGATCCTTTTGAAGAGTTTTGGGGTCCGTTTCCGAATTTATTTCCCGGTAGATTAATGCATCGTCAGCAAATAAACGTTTCTTGGTACCTTTGGAGATACAGTCAGGCATGTTGTTAATGTAAATTAAGAAACGCAGTGGGCTGATGACGGTACCCTGGGGGACACTTGATGTAATTTCTGCAGCTCAAGACAGTTTCCCATCAAGTGTTACTCATTGTTTTCTTTGTGTTAGAAAGGTTTTAATCCAGCCAAGTTCTTTTCCTCTTATCCCGTAGTGGTGGAGCTTCTTGAGCAGTCGAGTATGCGGAACGTGATCAAACGCTTTTGAAAAGTCCAATAGTACAGCATCGACTTGCTTATTTATATCAAAATATTTTGCGATGTCGCTGATTGTAGATACTAGTTGAGTATCACACCCCCTCCTTTTACGAAAACCGTGTTGAGAGTCCACAAGAATATAAAGTCGGTCTAAATGTGACATGATGTTGCTAGTAAGGATATGTTCTAAAATCTTACAGCAGATTGAGGTTAGTGCGATCGGTCTATAGTTGCCGGGTGAGTTTTTGTTGCCTTTTTTGAAGATAGGTGTGATGTGGGACATAAGCCAGTCAGACGGAAGATCACCTGAGTTAAGGCTTTAGTTAAAGATTGCTGATAAAATGGAAGCTAGCTCCTTGGCACACTCTTTGAGGAATCTAGCTGGCAATTGATCAGGCCCAGATGCTTTATTAGGTTTTAAGTTGGACAGAAGCTTTTTCACACCTTCTGGTGTGATTGTGATGGATGGCATTTCCGGATGGGGATCTCCAGACATATCAGGGATATTTTCAAGGTCCTCTTGTGTATAGACTAATTTGAAGTAGCTATTCAAAATTTCTGCTTTTTCTTGGCTGTCGTCAGTTGTATTCCCGTCGTTGGTAGACAATGGAGGGACACCTCCGTTGTAAATACGTTTTGATTTAACAATTTTCCAAAATTGTTTGGTGTTTTGGTGCAAGTTTTCAGACATAGTGTTTTTAATATAGTCGCCTTGAGCATGTCGAAGCTCTTTTTTATAGTTAGTTCTGTGGACTTTGAAGGCTAGTTCATCGCTTTTAAGTTGGGTCCTTTTTTGTTTGTTATACAGTTTCTGAAGTTTGCGTCTCATTCGTCTAATTCTGCCATTAAACCAGGGTAAGTTGTGTCTGCTTGAAGTCATCTTTGTGGGGATATGCTTGTTCATCAAAGTCATAATGTGCTCAGTGAGGTTGATCCAATTTTCTTGAACAGATTGTTGGTTTAAGTTATCGATCATCACACCAGCGTCTTCTTAAGATCCCAAAGACACAAGGAGCCTGTGGTGAAAGGGCTTTTTCATCTGCAGCACCTTGTCTTTGGAATAATTTACCATTTAATTTGAGAATTATAACTTCCTTTGGAGACCTATAAAACCAAGCTGAAATCTTATCTTTTTTAACAATACCTGTACTTGGCACTATGACTCTCATCCGAACTTTCTCATTCTTTCTATTTTCTTGTGCGCCTCGGAATAGCATTGTCTAGATAGACACCGCTATACAAATGCCTATTATTATTATTATTAATAATCATGGTTTTCCCAAAGGAAACTAAGCATTGTCTAGATAGACACCGCTATACAAATGAGGTATAAAATCTCCTTTTGTGTACTGGAAGATCTTTCGCTTCGGTGGGAGCTTTCTACATGGTTTTACATCATATAAGCTTTCAACTACTTTATGATCACCCAACTTTGGTAGAGTTCTCACATGAGTCACAAGAGTGGGGTTGGTAGTAAAGAATAATTCCAAGGTCTTGTCCCGACGTGTGGGGATTTTCACCGTCTGAGTAATGTGAAATTTGGTGCTGATGTCCAAAAGAAGATGACACTGGGTAGAAATATTGCTACCAGGTTTGACTGTGATGTTTTTCCAGTCAATATCTCTCATGTTAAAATCACCTCCTAACCAAACAGAACAGTTACTGCCGTAGTTGGAGTGAAGTTTGGAGATTGACCTGTCAAGCTCATCAAGTGATTCTGTGGAGGAGTTCGGATTATAGTATACACCGACGTATCTAACCACGTTTTTTCCTAGATCAAGTTTGATCCATAATAATTCGGCGTTAACTTAGAGTTCGTCTAAGATCTGGGCAGTCATGTTTTTGACTGCGATCATAACTCCGCCATAACCATCGACGCGATCTTTACGGAAGATTTGGTAGTGATCAGGAAAGATTTCACAGTTCTTCATATCCGCATTTAGCCACGTCTCAGTACAAATCAAAATATCAGGTTTTTCAGCTTCCAGTAGAACTTGAAATTCTTCAACTTTGCTTTTAATGCTTTGGAAGTTGATGTTAAATA